GCGCGCCGTCACAGCCCCGTGCACAGAGCACCATCCCAAGCTACCGCAGTCGCTTACACAATTCGCTCGTAGAACAGCATGTAAGCTTGCGCCTTGAGCACCTTGTCCAGAGTCACCTCTGTGACGTGCGTGTCACTCACGTAAAACCACCGCCCGGCCTCCGGCTGCGGCTCCGGCTCCGTCTCGGGCTCCGGGGCGGGCTGTTTTTGATCCGTCTGTGACTCCTGTGGCGCGGCGGCGGGGTCCTCGCCCTCCCCGTCTTCCCGGCCCTCCTCTGCGGGCCTGACCGGGGAGCGAGTTACCTAAGTGTGGAACTACAAGTCGATTCTAGGGCTGTGATTGGTGACTTTAGTCGGGGGATGACGCTTATAGCATGACGTCACTCGCGTACTTGGCCGGACCAACCGCGCAGCGCAGGCGCGCCGAGCCAACCCAGAGGCTCTCAAACTCAATTGTACAGATCCTGCGCATTGAATGGCGAAACTTCGGCGAGTTCGCTTGAGTTTGGAAGCCCCTGCCAGAGAACTGGAGGCGGCCGGATTATTTGCTGGACAGTGGGCAGCGCAGATGGCGATTGACGGTGCCAAAAAGATGGTAGGGGAAAAGGAGTTGAGACTTGAGCAGTGAATTATAAGCCTGTTGCATAGCTGAGTGGTAAATTGTAAAATACTTAGGGTTTGAAGAGATGCAGTGTAGTTTAGCCGACTCAGGGGCATTCTGCCGAGTTATGTAAGGCGGAAGGGTCGCAACTCGCAAGTCGTTTGTTTCCACTGATTGCCTGATTAAAATGTAAAGCGTATCTAATGTTAAGTTGATCTAATCTATGTTATCTTATGTTAACAGCGAGGTTGGGCATCTGCTCAATCCATTTCTTCTCTGCAATAGTGCATTCGCCACTGTAATTCATTGTAAGAGGCACTGGGCTGCGCCGCCTGTTAATTATTCCGAAACCACCAGTGAATTCATTTGCTGTCGTCACAGTCACTCACAACAATACGAATCGTTCAGTCGTGCGCTGGGGGTCCGCCAAGTTTAAGTGTGCTGCAGAATGCAGACTGGACCGCCGAGAATATAACACTTCCGTCTCCCTGGGCGAGCGGCGCATTGGAGCCGAAGGAAACTGCTTCAGTTTTTTTGTGGGGAGGATACTCATGTTTGAAAATTATGTTATAGAATGAAGGCCTGGCTACACTATGCGTTTTCTTCGTGCGTTTTTTGCGTGTTTGCGTGTTTTGCGTGATATCGTTCTAGAAAAGGGAACGATATTACGTTTTTGTGATGTTTTTCACCTTAAATTTTAGTTACATAAGAGTTATATTAGCTTTTGTATATAACCAAAGTAAAAATTATATTGTTTATAACTTTTTTCCTAGAACGATATTACGCAAAACACGCAAACCTGCAAAAACGCACGCAGAAAACGCATAGTGTAGCCAGGCCTTGATGTGATAAGGAAAAGGACGGTTTCTTGAATTGAGGGCTGTGGAGAAGAGGCAGATTTTCTCATTTGCTACCCGATACAACACGAAAAGAAGCAGATGTTGCACATTGGGCTTAATAAGTCTAATAAAAGATAAGGGACTTCGTGAATCATGCCTAATTGACCGCGACCAAGTTATTTGCCAATGCAGGTAGGCACTAGGTAGGTAGATACTCATTTGTGAACAGAACGTTCCACCACCCCTCGCCAGAAATTCAATCAGCAGTTGCTTATTAAAACGTTTGAGTGCACCTGACAACCTTTAAAAATGACGTCCTGCCTTTCAATGGTTCGTGCGAAGACACAAAGCCAGAATCAGCCAAGCAATATCGGAATCCATTGCGCAGTGTGTCGGATGTGCCCCCAGTTTTCAATCCACATAGCATAGCACACACTGCTAAATGCAGGTACGCTCACCTACACATTAGGTATTTGAAGGACTTAATAGCTCATTCACATGGAAGAAACACATGAAATGTGATTTATAGCTGCAGCAGAAGTTTGGCGTCCGATGCCTCTTCGCCAAGTTAAGACCATGCCAATCTCCGCCAGTCTGCCGTCGCGCCGGCACTGGCCGTGGTGTGACGTCATCCGGCCGGCTCGGCGCTGGGTAGTTCCACACTTAGGTAACTCGCGACCGGGGACGGTCCGTCCGTGGTCTCCGGTCGGGTCTGCTCGGCGCGCTGCCTCGCCCGCTCACACGCCACGGCGAACGCGTCGGTGACGAGTGTGGTGAGTCGCGCAGGGGTGACGGTGAGCTGGTCGTGACGGCGGCGCACGCGCACGTAGGCTGTGTAGTGGCCGCTGGTCAGTCGACCGCTGTGCTCAACGACACCAAACAGCGAGTAGAGCACCCGCCGCTGGCCGGCCCGCATCTGAGGCAGGTCCTGGCTGATGGAGGAACAGAAGGGGGCCAGATCGAGCCGCTCGCCGAACTGCACGTGCCGGTTCACCTTCCGCAGGCTGAAGCTGCACACCTCGAACCGCTTCAGGTGGATGGTCAGCACCGGCGGCGGACTGTAGATGAGCAGCTGCTTGCTGGCGTTGCTGTATACTGTGCCGAGTTTCTTCTCAGCTGCTTTTTCAGCCGCCGTGAGCCGTTTGTTGCGCAGCTCGGTGCAGTTGTCGCAACCGAGCTTGTTGTTGCCGGTGAGCAGCTCGGGCGCCGTGTACTGGTTAAGGCAGGTGAGCAGGCTGCACTCGCCAGCGGCCGCCTGGTAGCGCGGCGCCAGGGTGGTCAGCGCTCGACTGAGCCACTCACAGCGGCTCAGCGGCGGCGGCGGGCCGTCCGAGGGATCGGCCGCCGGTGAGGGGGTCCCCGTCCCTTCGGCCGGGGCAGACTCGGTTGGCGCGCAGGTCCCGCCGTTCGGCGCAGACTGGAGTTCGCCGCCGTCCGCCACCCCTGCCGTTGAGCTCTGGCCGTTCGCCACTGCCTCCGTCGGCACACCGCCCGGCACCTCACCGGGTGACGGCGACTGGCCCTCCCGCGGGGCCTCCTCGGCTGCCCTTCCGCAGTGACCGTTCGGAGCGCCCAGACTGTTCTCACGCGCCTCCACAGCCTCTCCGCAGTTCTCCGCCGGCACAGAGCTCTGCTTCTCCCCCACCTGGTCCGCTCCCGCCGTCTCCGGCGCACCGTTCGGGGGCTTTGTCAGCACTCTCCCCGACCAGTGGCACCAGCCCGGCCGGCGCCGCGTCCGCCTCCACCGGTGACGACGGCCGGCCGTTCACCGTCAGCGGGCCCGGCTCGTCCCCACACGAGTCCGCAGCGGCCGCGGCGCCGGCGCTGTCCACAATCAGCGCGCTGAGCCGCTCCGAGAGCTCCTCCGCGGCCAGGTCGGCCGGCGGGTCGGGGCTGACCGAGGCAGGCGGCTCGTCAGCCGGCGGGTCGGGGCTGACCGAGGCGGGCGGCTCGTCAGCCGGCGGGTCCGGACTGACTGAGGCCGGCGGTTCGTTCAGCTCGTCTTCCGTCGAATCCCCACTGACCGAGGCCGGCGGCGGGTCGAGCTCCGACAGCAGGCTGAAGATGATATCTTCGGCGGCGGGCAGCGAGAGGTCGAGGAAGGGCTCCATGCGGTGTGTGCAGGCCATGCAGGCCTGACACACCACCAGGCTGACCAGCTGGCCGCTGAAGATGGAGTCGATGGTCGTATGCGATACCTGGTGGCCCAGCGCCTTGGCACGCGCCTTCATGTCGTCGGGTACTTCCTTGGGGTCGGCCTTGGCCGGCAGCCCCAGACCGAGCAGGATCTGCTTCTGGTGCCGCCGGAGATCCTCAAGCCGCGCCTGCTCCATGAGCGCTCGCAGCAGCTCGTGTGCGTCCTGCTGGTCGCAGCCCACAAACTGGGGCACCTTCAGGGCGATCTTTCTGAGCAGATGACTGGGGGAGACGGTGGAGTCGGTGCCCGTGATGTGCATCTTCTTGAGAAAGTCGCACAGCGAGGCGGTGATGGGCCCGCCCTCCGGCAGCACCAGCTCCATGGTCTCGCCGTCAGCGCTGACTGTGACCTTTCGTCCTGGGCGGCTGCTGATGTCTAGGTAGTGCGTCAGGTAGTGGCACTGGCTCAGACACTGCAGCACCGAGTTCAGGTAACACGAGTTGCCCAGGTTGATCAGACCCTTGACCTTCGGAAGTGATTCGTTATCACAATCCGCTTGAGCCTGTTTCTCCTTAGCGGAGGCGCCCTTGGAAGACTTGGGAGGCGGAGTGTCCTCCTTGGATGGCGTGGCCCCGGGACGTAGAGTTCCCTGCTTTTTCTTGACAAACTGCACAGCTTCGTGAAGTTTCTTATTACTCTTCAGTGACACTTTCTCGTTACATGTGAAACACCAGACGCCCCAGTCGGCGGCGGCATTGACGGCCAGCGTGTGCGAGTCGGAGCGCGGCGTGTTAAAGTGCTGCGTGGCGTGCCTCGCGCAACCCTGGTGGCCGCACTGCATGCACAGCCAGACGCCGTGCGGCAGCTGCGCGCCCGACGGCACCGACCGCTCCTCCCCATCCGCGGGTGCCGTGCACGGGGTCGGCACCTTCTTGTCGCAGGCGCCGATCCGCCGGTTCGACTTCAGCTGCCGCTTAATGTCAGCCAGATTGACGCTCTTGCCCACGTGCTGGCACATGCTTATACCATTGTTGGGAAGTCCCATGTTCAATGGATCCAGTATCTCCTGTTCTGCTGGTCTGGTCGTAGGAGACGTGGTGGTTGGTAGCTGCGGTGGGAGCTTTGCTTCGGTGCCAGTTGAGTTTGTGGGTGGCCATGGAAGTGATTTTGGCTCAATGTTGGTTCTGTGACTCGGCCTTACATTGACGCTCGCAAGTCGAACGGCTGTGGCGTTGCCGCGCACCACCGCCACAGACACGCGCTGCATGAGGCGTTCAAAGTCCCGTCGGTCTCCTGTGGTCTTCACAATACGGCGGCCGAGCTCCTTCAAGAAGGAGTAACTGTCCGGGCCGAGCGCTCCGGATGTCTCTACGGCGACAGGGCGGAACAGATAGCGTCGACTTATGTCGGCATAGCGATGGCGCTTACGCCTCTCGGCGACGGTTGCAGCTGAGCTCGCACGGGCCGCGGATGCCTTGACTGACGAAGCGCTGAACGTGTCGACGCAGGTAGCGTCCCAGACGAGGCACTTCCCTTCTGCATAGGGGAAGGTCGTCATGCCGTCAGGGCGACGTCCGTCTCCGCGGTCTAAGCCGGCCGGCTCGAGAACAGACGTCATTCCAGCGGTTGATAGTCCACGCTTGATGACGCTGTTGAGTTCCGCATGGCGTGGGAACCGGCCAGCACTCATCTGGCAGCACAGGCAGTGCAGGCCTCGCTCGTCAATGTCGGCTCCACAGCGGCAGCGGTGAGGAGCACATATATCTGCTCCCACCCGCAGGGCGACGGCCGTCCGCAGGGTGTCAGGGTCGAGCAGCGTGCCCACGCTGGCGGCTGGGAAGGCGTTCAGCCAGGCACCAGAGTGTGGTTGTGCGGCAGCTCGGAGTCGGGCTCGGTCAACATCGGTTTTGCTGTCTTCCAGCAGCCGTTCACTGATTCTTGCTGTCTCAGCTCGATCCCATTCTCTTTGGTAGCGCCGCCTGTGCGCTTCCGGTGGAGGCAAGCCTGTGCGACGCTCCCACTCTGAGATCAAGCACCTCGTTAGCTCACTGACGCGATTAGCGGCGGAGCCGTTAATGGATGCGATCGTGTCAGCGGATGCTACTTGAGATGCGAGGTGAGCAGGAAGGGCAACGTCTGTTACTCTCCTTACGCCTAGCCCACCGAGGCTGATTGGCAATGTCGCTTGTCGCCATGAAATGTCACGCAATTGGACGTTTGTGATCACTTCCATGCCACGGCGAACTGCTTCGTCAATCCTGTTGAGCAGGGCGGGGTGGCGGTAGGCTGGAGAGCTTCGAAGAAGGTACAACAGGCGAGGAAGGGATACGTAGTTCTTCAGTAGGAAGAACGCCTGATGTGCCTCGTCCAGAGCCTGAAGGCGCTTGATAAGCTTCTCTACCAGGAGCTGGCCTTGTAGAAGCGCACGTCTTGTTTGAGCGTCATGTACAGGCGCACCAAGCAAGCTCTAACTCATCCACGGGGACTTCCCGGATGTCGGGAAGAACACTTTGTAGCATGTGCAGGGCGCTGAGCTTGGTATCGTCGGTGAAGCCTCCCAGGAAGGTGACTTCACACTTGCCTGCGTTTATGGCGAGCCCCACTTCGCTCATTTCTGCCTTCACTTGTTTGATACTGGAGATGACGTCAGATGGTGGGCCAGCCAGCGTTCCATCATCCAGGTACCAGGTGTTTATTTCTGTGTCTGGAGCCCTGGTGGCAGAATCCACTGTCAGAGAGAACAGCAGGGAGCTCAACGGATCGCCTTGCTGGACTCCTGTCTGAGAAAGGATTTTACTGTCGCCGATGAAAAGTGGCGCGGCGTTGTTGTAGCCCTGCCATACAAACGGGTATATCTCTGGCGCACGAGTTTTCACAGCTTCCAGCATCGCATCTCTGCGCACGGTGTTGAAGGCATTGGAAATGTCCAGCTTCACGATAACTCTGCTGTTTTCGGACGCTTCGCATTCGTCGATGTATGCTCTGGTGGCGTGTACTGCCGCCTCGCAGCCGTTCCTCGTGGCCACACCAAGCTGTACTGGTCGCAGCTGAGCTCCGATGGCCGCCGAGACGGCCGTGGCGGCGACCTTGCCTGCGATTCGGCGATACACACTGCCGACAGCGATGGGACGCAGGCCGCCGTCCTTCTTTCGAAGAGCAATCAGCGACGCGCCAAAGAAAGCTGGTGTTGCGCATTCCGGAAGACGGCCGCTGAGCGCCAAGTTCGTGAGCGCTGTCAGAGCTGTGAGTAGGCGAGCTCCAGCCTCGGCGGTGTGTTTAGTGAGGAGGGAGCGCAGGTGGGCGGGGCGAATCCCATCCAAACCTGCACTGGAGCTCGGCGGAAAGGAGTTGATCGCCTTCAAAACGTCGGCCTCGGAAGCCACTAACGGCACGTGGATGTCGTCAGGTGGCGGAACGTTTCGCAGGTCAGTGGGCGGTTCTGGGTGCTTTTCTTGCATCCTTTTGATGACTTCTTCTGTTGGAGATGCGAAGGAGTCATCTGAGGTCAGAGCTCGTAGCGCTCCCCGGGTATCGCCGTCCGTCAGTTTTGAGGCCACGCGTCGTGACATCGCTGTCATCTCGCCCACCGGGCGATGTGCATGTGAGCGTTTGGATGGTTTGGAAGGACGGACCTTGTTGGTGTCACTGTTCTGTGATAGGTTTAGGCGCACTTGTGTGGCCAAAGAGGTCTTTTCTGCTGTTCGCGCTTCTCTGTTGATACTGAGCGTAGAGTATCCAAAGCACGTGAGCCTGCGCCACGCTTCCTCAGTGCCCTGTTCGACAGCGTCGTTGATAAGGTGAGCAAGCTCGTCTGCTACCGCGATACGCGCTCCTTTTGGGATGTGAGGTAGAACCCGACTGTTTTGCTTCAAAGTAGCGATTTCTGTAGCAATGTCGCATAATTGTGTGAGCTTCGGTACTGAATTCGGACAGTTGTCTCCGAATCGACAGGTGGCACACCGTCTTCCCAGTTTCACGCAGCGGCAGGTTCTACACGGGTTAGATACACACTTGCAACAGCGAGGTGTGCTTCCACCCATTGTTGCGCGTCCATCCTCTGGCGAGATAAGTGTTTCGTCGCTCATAACGCTAATAGCAGTGCAGGCAGAAAGTCAGATTCATTTTATCGAATGTTTTCATGCATCGAACTCCTCAGTATTGAAGTACTGTTGGGTGATCGAGACATGTTCCGAATAATCTAAGGTGTCTAGCTCAAAACGTCACGTTCTTGAAATTCAAAACAGCATGAGATTTGCTTGCGTGCTTCAAAAATGATATAAAAGAGAACATCATTAACATAGTCATTTAATACGAAATTGTCGTCCAGCGATGCTTTTCTCCCGGCCCATGAAAGAAAATACCTTGCACAGCAGCGCAGTGATCAAGATAGTCGATAAAAGGGGCTTGCAAGATCAGACAACCAGGTTGAAAGTGAGCGCCAAATCTCGTCTTCGACCCGCCACGGATGTCACATGACAAACGAAGTACTCTAACTCAGTATTTAATTAAAAATGAACACAATATTTTCGGCCACATATCTGTTATTAGGTTGGCGTAAGTCTCATGCAAACCACATGAAGCAAACATGAAAGAATTCCAAACAACGAACCACTTACTGGGCAGTGGCCCAGTCCGTGGGTCCGCAACCAACGATCTCGATCAAGGCCGACCCCAAGGACCGAAGTATTGGACTATTCCCGAAGCGTGTGGGTGACCCCTTATGCACGTGCCACGTGCAAAACGAAGAGGTGTCACTTTTGTAATTGTTGCAATATCTTGGTAACTACTTGACCGATTGCGCTGAAAGTTGGCATGTAGGTAGGTACCCACTAGGCACTGCATATCCATGTGCCAGAGTTGGGGTGCTGCTGCACGTGCGCACGTGCAGGGGTCGTTTCCAGATCTCGAGAACGGCTCGACCGATTGCGCTCAAATTTGGTACACAGTTAGGGACCGGTTAGTAGGGTGCCGTGCACAAGTCAGTTGGGAGTTGGGACCCATTTTGCACGTGCGCACGTGCAGGGTGCCGCTTCCAGATCTCGAGAACGGCTGGGCCGATTGTGCCCAAATTTGGCACATCGCTAGAGACCGGTTAGTAGGGTGCCGTGCACAAGTCAGTTGGAGGTACCCCTCGCAATTTCGCACGTGCAAGGCCCACCCTCTCGCTCGCTCCGTTAGTCGCCCCAAAAGGCGTTATACTGGTTTCTATACATTCTTAAAAAATCGAGTTCCCAACCCCATTGTGTTCATCGGCTAGCGAGTTACTTCATTTTGGCCACATTCAAACCCTGATAGCGGCAGTGTGCGATGGTGCGCGCCTGTCGGCCGATTTGCTCACCTGTGAAGTTGCCGCCCATGATGACGATGTCGCCGACGTTGCTGCTGAACTCCGGGTCGAGGCGCGTCGCCAGAGCAACTGTGGTGAGCGGAGCCAGAGCCAAAATGGCCAGCTCGCCTGGGGACAGCGCAGCCGGTCAGCTGGGGGTGCGCCTAGAAGCTGGTAGGGACAATGATGTCGACACTGCTTACGCGCTTTATGCAAACAAGTAACAAAAGGCTACTTTGATAAATTGCATATGCGCACTGGGACATACGCGGTCTTTTGCTTTAGCATATGCCGAAGTATGCCTTTAGCATTAGCGCGGTAAAAGCTTTTTGGATTAAACCGCATAATGTTAAAGGCAATTGGACAAAGGTTTCGGCCCATGGGCAAAACATTTTACTAGCGAACTTTTGAAGCATTTCCTGAGAAAGAGAAACCTGCCAAAGCAAAGAAAAACTTCGTTTAATAATGATGAAACAAAGACATTGATCAAACATCCAAAACTGTATTTCGGTAAGACACTGACGCAAGTGCATGCAGTCGGGCACTAATCTATGAGTCTTTAAATTGGTGGTTTACCAAGTAATGCGCGGTTCGTTCACTTTGCTCGACGAACGACAGTTATGTACATATGTACAAGAACCGCCTACTTTCCTGAAACGTTCACGTTTTGGCAGTTGCTGATGTTAAAAACGAAGGTAGCGCCGGGTGCCACGGTGACCTCCGAGGATGACTTCGTCTTTCTTTGTGGCCGGAAACTCTGACCCATTCATGATGCTAGTGCACAGAGCCCTCTGAACATGCACGTCTGCTACAGCGTAGCGTTTTAGACTCGCCACAGACTTGTGCCCAGTTAGCTGGGCCGTACACATTCCTGTGGCCATCCGGTGTCTAGAGCTCTTTTTACGTACGTTTTGCGTGCCGAGTGATTGCTTCTTTTTCCTCTGATGCCTGCTTTTTCACACGCTTCTTTGAGGAATGAAGCTAGCTTATTTTTCCCCATGGGAGCCTTCTTGTACCCTTGAAAGTTGTGTCTTTCTCTGGGGACTAGCAGTTTTTTACCGCCAAGAAAAATGGACTATCGTCATCCAGCATTTCCTTTGGGCGGTGTGCGGCAAACTTCTTGTAAGCCTCGATGGGACATCTGCTGGAATCTTCTTCGTTTTTGAAGACTTTTGGGTTGAACGCCCGAGCACCGGAAGTACTTCCTCCGTCTCGGGTCTTGGTAAGTCGCTCGTTAACCTTTCAGGCGGTGGGAAGGGCATTTTTTGCCCCCCCCCCCTTAGTTTTTTTCGATATATCTCGAGAACCGCTGCGCCGATCGTCAGCAAACTTTCAGAACCCTCCCGTGAATACCTATTGCACATTGTGCCAAAAAAAAAAAAAAATCCAAAGGCTATGATAGGTTGGACGCTCATGACGTCAGAGTGACGTTATTTCTGCCATTTTCGACCCAAAAAAGGGTTTCGCGAGAAGAGCTGTCAGGCCTACAGCTTTAGAGATACAGAAAAATGTTTCAGACATAAAGGTGTAGAATTTAGGAGGCTACAAAACTACCATGTCGGATTTTTGAATGTTTTGGATTTTGACCCCCAAAAATTAAAAAAAAAATATTTTTTTTGAATATAATAGCCGAAAAATAAAAAAAATGATTTTCGAAAAACCAGAAGATATGTGATAGTCCTTACCGCCTTCTATCTACATACCAAATTTGAGATCGATACCGTAAACCGGGGTGAGTTGATATGGATTTTGAGGTTTTTCTAGATTTCTTTAAAAGTCACATTCATTTTCGGAATTCTTTTTGTGCCAGTTTCATGGCACATGCCTTGGGCAGGCAATCAGCAAAAATGAATAAAAAATGTATATATTAAGCCCCTTTTTTAAAACGCCAAAGTTCATATCAACTCACCCCCTGGGGGGTGGTGAGTTGATATGGTTTTGGATTTTTCAAAATTTCTCGGCTAAAGAAGCTCAGAGGTGAGTTGATAAAATGCCAGTGTTTAAAAAAAGAATGTGAGAACACATCCTAAAAGAAACCATCAGAAAAATGGTAGTAGTTTGGCAGCAGACCTCACATTCATGAAAACGCAATCATGTCCAACACAGCGCTATCAAAATGGCTTGATTTTAGCAGCATCATTTTTTCGTTTTATGATACTTAGTTTTACTTAGAACATTCTGAACTTGGCTAGTCACGTGTCCTCAAGCCAACGGTATCAAAACTGGCAAAATATTTTGGAATTACAAGTGTATTTTCTTGTAATTAAAACATATTGTCAGTTGCGGGTCAAGGTTGATATGCCTCTGACAGAGATAATGGATTGAAATGAAAGAATACATATACTTCTGAGCTTTTGTTGACTGGTAGTCAACAAAATATTAATGAAGTGAAGTGAAGCGAATCTAATTCGGACTGTATTCTATAAGGTGAAATAAGCGACATAAAACAGAATTCGGCATCAAAAGCCAAAATTAACCCTCGCACTTATAGGCGGGCGAACGGACCACCTCGGCTTTTCGCACATAACTCGCGCAAAAAGCGGCCGATCACGACGAAACTTTCAGTACCTCTCGAGTTTATCAATTTTACACATGTTCTAAAGACTTCATGACCCTGACTCAAATGGTTTTTGACTTGTGACCTGATTCTCGAGACCATGCTTGGCCGGAATCGCGATTTGGCGTAGTCGGCTCACATTATCCGCGCATTTCCAGTCTTTTTGTGATTGTAACGTCCAAACATGTAAATGATGTTGGTCCCACGCAGTATTGTGGGTGTCAACTGTGAAGGTCACCTGAAGGTCAGGTCAGGTCATTGACCTGTGGTGACCTCGGTTCACTTTTTGGAGTTTTACATGTTTCTAGGGTATTTTTTTTCGGGCCGATTTCGAATTTAACATGCATTTGATCATTTATGAAGTAGTTTTAGTGCCTTCGTAACATGTTACGACACCGTCAGTGGTAGCTGACACTTGACACTCCCTATGGATAGCCGGCAGGACACCTACTGGTTGACCTGACCTGATCTGACCTGGCCTAAATGTACGAAGACATCTGTGATCAAAACTAACATGATATTCGTGATCAGCAACAGCCAAAAAATAATAAACTCGCTTTACGAACTTCAAATAACCCCCTATTTTCCCGACTTCTGGGTAATTGACCTGGCCTGGAAGGTTAACCAATGACCTAGGACCTTAAAGTTGGTTATCATCGGCTTCCTCGCGTCTCGGGCAACACGCTCATTTTTTCCGCGAAGCTCTAGCTCCACCAGGGGCCAAACGACGATGGGATTCCAACGGACCCCCCCCCCCCCCCTATACGTTAAACGCTGGCAAAACACGAATACGGGCGAGGGCTAAACACCAGTCAATTTCTTTACATTGTTTGTTCCATTTCATTTTGTCACTCATTCTCGGTTGGCAACTGCCAAGCAGGAAAACTTATCAGTTTCACGAGATCAGAATTCCCGCGCTGTTAGCCATACAGAAATGACAGTTCTGTCATTTTCGAAACTACGAATAATTATAACAGTTTTTTAATCTGTATGTAATATAGGTGTTCTATAGTGTTCCTTTGTAGCTTGTAGGGAGCCATCTTGAGACTTGACAGGGAGTTGTGCTGTGCCTTTTGCATGTTAGGTATGTCCACAGAAGAAAACCTTGGGGTTACTGATGTAAGCTGTCGGACCTTCGTCCCCGTCTTGAGTTGAGATGTTAGTTTCACAACGTTTCGGCCAGTTACTCTCCGGCCGTCGTCACTCGTCAGGTGTTCTTTGAACCCTCAGAAGGACCTGGATGTTGGTGGCGGAACGCCGTACGCATCAAACAGTTCGAAAGCTCCTGTAGTCAGCGGGAATCGAACTCGGGTTTCCCCGGTGATGGTCCACGGTTGTAACCACTCCACTATCGAGGCGGGTTTGACTACGGCCGGAGAAGTTACTGGGTGAAACGTTGTGAAAGTAACATCTCAACTCAAGACAGGGACGAAAGTCCGACAACTAACATCAGTGATACTAACAAGCCTCGTCTCAAGCATTCAGAAAAAAAAACTAAAGCTTTTGGGGGGTTGATGGAATGATGTGGGGAAAGAAAAGGAGAAGAGTTGGTCTAATTGACTTTGTCTTACCTGCAGACCCATATTTCATGCTAATTTGCCTGCCTACCAGCCTGGTATCAGCTTTTATCATGCATATCAACTCACCACCTGATGGCATATCAACTCACCACCTGTCACTTTTCTTAAAATTATAAAAGAGCGTTGTTATAGATGAAACCCAAAACTACCTGGGATCAACAGTAAATTGATGGTAGTTTCTTTCCCAGTGCATGTTGTTTCATGAATATCCACCGTCTTTGCTGTAGGGTGGGGACTTTTCCTTAGTTTCAAAATCAGAAGAAAAAAAGGACTTTGAAAAAAGTAATGTGTTAAGAAGGCACTGCACCACATGCATGCCTTTCTCAGCTATATGCATCACTTATTGGTTGCTTCACTTCACAGAAAAATAAAAATGAAAATTGGTTTACAAATGGATGAGCAGCACACATTTTAACATTTTTCGAGCAATTTATATCAACTCACCACCCCATATCAACTCACCCCGGTTTACGGTACCTCTTTTTTTGGCCAAGTTATAGCAAAAAACTGGTCAAAATTGATGACGTCAAATTTTCAAACTCAATTTTTAGCAATTCTAGCCCTCGCCCGTATTGGTGTTTTTTTCCAGCCGCGAACGTATAGGGGGGGGGGGGTCCGTTGGACCCCCCCTTGCCGTTTCGCCCCTGATCGAGCTAGAGCTTCGCGAAAAAAATGAGCGTGCTGCCCGTGACGAGAGGAAGCCGATGATACCCAATTTTGGGGTCCTAGGTCATTGGTTGACCTTGCAGGTCAGGTCAATGACCCCAAAGGCGGGAAAATCGGGACCTGTTTGAACGTCGTAAAGTGTGGCTGCTATGGGGTTTTTCGGGGTGCTGATCACGAATATCATGTTAGTTTTGATCACAGATGATGTCTTCATGTATTTAGGCCAGGTCGGGTCAGGTCAGGTCAGGTCAACCAGTAAGGGTATTCGTAGTAGGTGGCAACCGCCTCTGACAGCCTCGTAACATGTTAGGAAGGCGCCAAAACTA